TTTCTACTTCCTCTGATACTTCACTGCCGGAATAACTTCCATCGGACCTGACTTACTTAAAAGCTATTAAAGAAATAAGAAGAATAAGAAGTGTGCATACGACATTCTGATTATTTGTCTGAAAGCCTGAAGAAAGCAGTTACTTACTGTGTGTGCCTTATGGATCTGAAGTAAAGAAAGACACGAAGGAGTCTTAAAACTGTTCTGAGTACAAAGATGCAGTGGCTCTGCAGGGGACCCCCTAACAGTGCTGGTTGAAAGCAAGTGTTATTATTTTGATGTCTTACCTGTTGGACTTTGCACTTTTTAGTTAGAGGTGATCAAAGGCAATGGTGGAGCTGAGAGTTAGGAAATAACTAAAATCCTGTTTGTGGCTGGAAAAGGCCTACTTTCTCCCTATTTTACTCTTAAACTTGCCAAGCCTTGTTCACTTTGGCTTTATTTTTAAAATGCATTTCTGGTGAGTGAGGAAAGGTTTTGTACTGTGTTTTCAATGACTCACCCAAAATAACTCCATTGAACTTGTAAAGGGTCCTGTTCTGAATATAGATTTTGTTTGTTCTGCAGTGGGCATGAAGTAGCTGCAGAAAAGAGATTAGAGACGGGAAATGTCATAGGAGAAGCTAGTACAGTTCATATTTATTCAGGATCAGGTGGATGTCAAAGAACTGATTTTCTTTAAAAAGTGTGTGTGTGTGTGTGTGTGTGTTCAGTGAACATGCTCATGTATGTGAAACAACCGTTATTAACACTGTCCTCATAAAGCTTTTCAAATATATCATTACTAAACCGATATGAGGTATTCCAGGCACTAACATTTTTTCTTTCATCTTTGAAAAAGGTACAAAGAAAGTTTTATATAGAAATACATAATTCTAAATCTATGTATAGTAAATTTTTAAAGGTCTAAATAAAAACACGAGTGTTTGGAAATAATCACATTAGAAAGAAAATGTGTATAAAGATTGATCACATTACAGGACAATGTTAACACTTGGGAACTTAAGAGACATTATTATCCTGTTTTGTTTTATACTGCAAAAAAGTCTTATCATCAGCAAGTACTGGCATAGAGTGAGCATTTAATATAGAACCATACACCTCTGTAAAACCTTGCATGATTCAAGATGACTGAAGCCTTCAAAAGTAACATTTTAGAGCAAGACTGAGAAGAAAAAGAACAGAGATGAATCCAAAGAATTACACATATTTTGGCTTCCCCTATAGCTTTCCCATATGTCCAGTAAGGAGATTCCAAATCCTCCTTTGGGCAGTTTTATGAACTCACAAACAAAACCAAGTGGAGTTTATTTGTTTTGTTACATAATCTTGCTTCTCCATTGTGGATAAAGAATAGATGGCATTATGATCTGTTGCTCAGAAACAGGAGAGAACTGACTCAGTGGGAAAAAAATAAGCTGGCTACAAATTTATTGTGAAAAGGCTACATCTACCATTCTTCAAACATGAAATTGTGACCCAAGAACAAGTGATAAAACTGATAAGCCCCCAGTGAGTATAGCATCAGAAAATATACTACTTGCCTATTGAGTAAATAATCTGTAAGGCAGTTTTCAAGTGGTATTTACCCCTTTCCATCTGATGTGTACTTAATAAAAAATGGGAAATAAAAATGGTAGATGATTGTGCTATAATATATACATATATACACACACACATATATGTATATACATATATATATAGTATAAGGATAGGAATCCAACAATTACTGAAATTTTTATTAGGCTGGGTAGTCTAATAACAGGTTTGAGTTATATATCTTGTATGATTTTTTCTCTAAAATATGTACAATAACTAGGAATACTAAAACAAAATATATTTTAATGAGTAATAATAGCTTATTGGGATAGATCAAAGAACTGACCAAAATCATACTATCTTTCATCAGAGTTCACTTATTATGCTTGTTTCATAAATAAATCATTAGTTATTTCAATTCTCTTTTATTCTATTTGGGAATTTCCCCCCGGCTATCACTGGAAATGCTAATAGATGTTGGGGGGACCCACAAGGTTTTCTTCTGAGATGAATTTTAGAATTATTGAGCTAACCCAAATTGTCATGTTTGTTTAGAATAAACCTTGAAGGTGCTACCTTTGTACAGTGGGTACTACATCAATCTCACATAAAATGTGCCTTAAGGATTTACCAGGTCTTTAATATGAGATTTGGCCAGAAAAAAAGAAAGTGGATAATACAGTAACACAGTATATAGTGTTATCACCAAAAAAGAGAAATTATTTGATATAACTACAATTCTGCCGTTCTCAGATAAGATTTTGAATAAAATTTTGACTTCATAGATATAAATGAAATGGTATCTTAACTAGAATCAAAAGGCTTCAATGTAACTAGTGCCAAACTAAATCTTGTTTTCTAATTTGAGGCCTGTGTTAAGAAATTTTACATGATATATCACTATTTGAGCTTTTCCACCTAAAATTTTGTTGTTTAACCAAATTGGTTTTGTTCTAGCTTGAACTTATTATAATTTTAAAAAAGCATCATAAAATTGACTTATTTTTGTCTCTTGCAACATAATAACCCTATGAGCAATAGCCCTATGAGCATCTACTTAATTTTGTGTAACCCTCACACTAACTTGGGAATGTAGCTATGATTGCAATTTCACATATGAAGAAAATGATATCCAGAGAGAAGAAAAACATTCAACTTTAGTCTGATACCAAAGGTCTTCCCCTTTCTACTCTATGTTGTCAATTGACATTGTCCATTTAAATATAACTGTATTTCTCTTCTTTATAAACAATAATGACTTAGCCAGTATTCTTAATGTAGAACACTAGCAATGCAGATTATGCAACTCATCTAGCCTATGGTATTTGTCTGGAAAACAGTCAAATGCCTAGACTCTCCTCAGGTTTAGCATTCATTATTGAATAAATCAAATACCTTGGGCATTAAAAATAACCTCAGAGCTGACCACATAAATGTCTTGGTTTTTAAGGTATTAGCATGCTGCCTGATGGATTTTCTTCTGAAGGAAATATACATATTTCATCCTCCATTAAGTTTTGCAATGTAAAACAAAAATATTTGTGCTACTGCAGATTCAACAATTGTTATATTCTATTCTAGTGATACTTCCTGAGTTTACTCTATTTCTTCTTTGATTGTGGTTGAATAACATGTAAATATAAGCTATACTTTATTATTGCCTTTCCCAAGAATTCTTTACTCTCTAAACATGCAGACAAAACTAATTAAAAAATAATGCACATTGCAGAGAAGACACAAAGCAAACATATCCCTAATTTGTCTCCTTTGAAGAAGAATAACAAATAGACAACTTACCTCAAGTAGTCAGTATTCCATGTAGAGTAAATACTGTATTAGTAGTACAGTAAAGATATTAATGTTCTCTCATGTTTACAATGTGGCTGGTGAACTAAACATATTATCTGGATCCAGTCATATTATTTGCTGCATAATTCAGTGCTCCCCCCCCCAGAAATAGCGTGTAGATTTGTATATCAAGGAACTGCTAGCCGGTTATGATCACGACTGGTGGAACAACAGGCTGAAGAAATTCTGAATCAGCTGGTCTGTCCATTCAGGTATTAGACAGAATAGGAATGAATTAAAAGACAAGAAAAAAGAGCCAGCAACAGCACATGGCTACGACAGAATGGAAGCTGGAGACTGCAGTTTATGCAATAAGGTTCTGTATAAACTATGAGGCAGTGTACTCTACAGCATTTGACCAAGCCCACCAACAGTAATGTAGGCACCTCCTTTTTGTCTGCCTCTTCCTTCCACAGGCAGCTGCTTCGGAAAAAACACTAAAGAGTTAGCTTCACCCTTAATATAGAACTCCTGACAGTCTAAGGCATATTAAGAACTAACAGATTCTTTAATATGAAAGAGCAAGCCACTGAGATGCTAGAAGCATCCTTCTAAACTCCGTTTACATTTCATTGTAAGTGTAGGAGATCATATTGTGATGGCTCCGGGGAAGCCAGTCTGGATTTTGGATTTGATCTTGAGGATGTTGATAAGCCATCAGGAGTTGTTTCCAATAATGAATAATGATGTATTGTGAACTATCCGATGTAAGGACCATGCTAGAAAGAAGATAGGGAAGAACAAAGACAAGAAGTTCAAGGACATATGCAAAAGCATATATACGGCTTAGGTGTACGTGCATGCACAGAACACTAGACACCATTCTACCTCAAGAACATTTCACTTCCTAAAATTTCCACAAATTATTTCCCCTGGCTACTAGTGCATATTTAAATTGAAATTTCATTAATTGTCAATGTCTATTTTAAGTGGAATTTTCTTCTTTAAAATAGTATTTATGTAAAAATGTTCTTTTTAGTAAAGCTAAGACCAAAACAGAAAGTATTCTAACTTTGTTTTCAGAGTTCAGCCACGCACAATAAAATACTGGAAGGTTAGTTCTAAACTAGTATAGATACTTTAGAAAGTAGTGTAGATACTTTAGAGCGGATGTTCCTTGTTTGGTATGCTTCACTTTGTTTCATTCTGGATAGAATTTGAATCTTTTTTCTCATAAGAGATAAAAATATGTTAAAGGGGGTTGCTGAAGCTCATTTAGAAGGTTATTTCAGATCCTTGGCACTATCAGCTTCCTGTCGCATCCCCAGCCCTCAAATCCAAACAGTTAGATATCTCTACATCCCACGGGTCTTTCTTGCTCCACTCCCCCGACCCCCCCCCCACTTCCCTCTGTGTCAGCAGCTTCAGTGTGGTGTGTCCATTCTTTCTCAGTACATTTTCATAACTCGCATAGCCAGGACACACGTTTCTCAAGCGCGCAAGCAGCACCAGGGGAAGCTTTTACACTTAGTACAATCTCCTGCTTCTTTCATCCTTGCCCAACCCCTCAGGCATCCCACACTGAAGCAACGCCTCAAAGAACAGGTCTCAGGAGCCCAGTCACTTGTTTTGCACGCGGAGGCGTTTTAGGAGACTTGGCCTCGGCACTTTACCTCTATTTCTGGATGAGCGAGGAGTTGAGAGAAGGAAAAGCTATGAGCAAACAAACAAACAAATCTGGCTCTTTCCTGAGGCAACCGCGAAGGGGCGGGTCGGCTCGGGCCTGTCAGGCCAAGCCCCGCCCGGGCTCGTCAGGCCAAGCCCCGCCCGGGCTCGCCTCTTCGGCCTCCAGCGAGACAGCCACCGGAAGAGGGCGTGGCCTCCTCCGTGGGCGGGGCGCACAGCTGCGAAGGGGCTGGGCTGTGTCTGGCGGGGGGCGTGGCTAGGAAGGGGGCAGGACGGGGCCTTGGAGTGGGCGGGGTCAGACCGGCCCGGCGCTCCGCGCCTACAGTGCTTGCAGGAGCCACTCGCTCTCCTGCGCCCCGCCAGGCCGGGTTCACGTGAAGCGCCCGCCCCTCCCTCCCTCCCTTCCTTCCCTCCCTCCCTCCCTGTCCCCTCCTCCTGCGGCGCCCGCTCCAGCTCCCCCGGGCCCCCTGCCCGGCTGGGCGCTGACAGCAGCGGCGGGGGTCCCCGCGGCCGCCGCCGTGTCCCGCGCAGGCTCGGGCTGGGCCGGCGGAGCCCCCGGTGCGGCCATGAACCGACCCCTGACGGCGTCCGCGGAGGCGGAGGAGGAACTGGAGTGGCAAGTGGCGAGTCGCAGGAGGAAGGCCTGGGCCAAGTGCCGCAGCTCCTGGCAGGCGTCGGAGACGGAGGATCTGTCCACCGAGGCTACGACGCAGGACGAGGACGAGGACGACGAGGAGGACCTCCCCGGCGCAAAGCTGCCGGCGGCCGCGGGGCGAGGTCGGTGCTCCGGGACGTGCGGGCGGGCGGGGAGGTGGGGTGCTCCGTGCCACTGGGCGCGGGGACCGGACGCCCCCCGACCTTTAAACGCGCGCGTGATCCGCGCTCTCGCGCCAGCATGTGCACCTGGTTGCCGGCTGGCTCCTCTGGGTCGGGCGCCCGGAAGGCTCCCCGAGGAGGCTGCCGCTTGCCCCCGGCGGATTCTGCTGCCAGGGGGCGTCAGAAATGGCACAGCCTCTGAGTACTATTGGGGTCCCTAACGAGCTGTCCCTTCGCTCTGCTCCGCAGGAAACGTGCCCAACGAGAAGATCGCAATATGGCTCAAAGACTGCCGGTGAGTCCTGCTCGGGTTGCCCGGGGAGAAGCGAGGGACCCGGAGATGTCTTTGGGTCCCGTGGCGGCTGTAAGCTAGGAACCGGAAAGTGAGCCGGCCGATAGCTTCCTTCTTGAAGCGATTACAACTGGAAGTGTTGTGACCGCTGATTATTTGTGACTGAGTTCACTTTACAGTTAGAACTGTAAAGTTTAGCAGCCTGGGAGTGATGTCAGCATCAGATCAGAAACTAAAATAGGTCGTGGTGATGCTACTTTGGCGGGTCGTGGCATTTCTTGAAAGAATTCTGATGTTTCCTAGAATGTTTTATTTTGTCATCTGCATATCTGGCGCGGAATCATTTTCCTTTCAAACATGTCTTAGACGAATTTAATTTACTTAACTATCCTAGCTGGGCTTAAATTTTGGTGGTGTGCCTTAAGTCCCTCTGGGGAGTTTTTAAAGCTAACCAACTTGGTCCTTGGAGTTTAACTCCTTGGACACGGGTTTGTGAGCTGGCTTTGGAATTCGTAGAAGGAAATGGAGCTTTGAAGGCATTCAGACTGCATGAATCTGTAGTTACATGCTTTGGCAACCGACACAAAATTGTTTGACAAAATACAGAGGATGGGTCGTATTGCAAGTATATGTGACTATAGTTAAATGTGTTTCACTTTTATCTTTTTCCAATTTATTTACTCCTTGAAAAATCTGTGTAAAGACAATAGCTTTTAAACTTTTGTTGGCGTTTGCTTCTGGGCATATTATTGCTTTCTCAAATTATGTTTGTCCTAGGGATTTTTTTTGAAAATGATTCTTATATATGGTATTAATTTTGTCCCCCAAAGACAGATAGATAGAATATTGGCTGTTTCTGTTTAATGACTTGAGTAATTGGAAACATATGATTGCTCACTGTATTTTTTTTTAACTTTTGTTACTGGAATTCTCTAAAATATTATGTAATGTATAGATGGTCCTTTTAAAGATGCACACAGGCAAATGCATTGCTTCAAGGCATCTTTAGGGTAACAACTCGGCTTAGTTTACCCCTTTGGTTTCTGAATTATAAGAATATGTCAGCAGCATAGTGTGAAATTGAAAGACTGATATTTTAAATTAAATTTTCAAAATTTTTTAGGAGAGAACTTACAAAGCAGTATCTTTGAAGTTTCTCCATTAAGGAGTGAAAGGGGTAGTCTAGCCTCGCTTTAATTCAAGTCTTTAATGTTTATTTACATCTTGGTTCTGATTTAGAATCCATTCCTGAATACAGTATTGGCTTACCCTTAAAATAGGTCTTAAAATTTCTATCATTTTATTTCAAGTGGATAATCAAGGAATTTTTAATGTAAGAAGAAGAGAAAAATCACATTTTAAAAATGATGTATAGGAATTGGGGTTGTAGAAGGAACCATATCAAGTAGACAGGAAACAAATACATCTTTCAGGTAAATGCTGATATTGACCAGGACCCAAGTTGGGTTCAGAAAATTGCAGAAGTTCATTGCTAAACCTAATGAGCATGATTCTGCAGCCTTCTGTCTCTCCTCTCTTAGATGTCTTTGTCGTTCCAGTAATTGCCCATGTTCAGTCCACAAGCAATATTCATTTGTGACTGGGAAAGTTGGAAGACATAATCTTTAATGTTGGCTATTCTGCTGTAGATTCGGCTGCTAGCATATTTGGAACTCTATTTTTTTAAAAGCAATTTGAGGTCCTTCTCAGAGTTGAGTGTTAATGTATTTTGTATATTATTTGCAAATGATTGGAAGGACAGCATTTTCCTCCCTTGACAAATTCTGGAATACTGTTTTCTCATTGCTATCCGTATCATGAGTGAAGATGTCATACTTTCCCTTCTCTGATGGACTCTTTATTCATTCTGATAATTGTTTCTTTTTTTGCTAGCCAAACAGACTGAATTGATGTCTAGGAAGCAGTAAGGATTCCAATGGGATTTGGAGGAGGGTAGTTAAAGAGTAGAGAACTTGTTTTTGAAGAAGGAGACCAGTTACATTCTGCCTCATTTGCCATTTTCTGTTAGTGCAGAGCCGCCAGGCAGCTGTGGACACAGAAATACAGTGTTTGGGCCCAACTAAGAAAAGAGCCATTGGGGAAAAAAAACGAAGTCCCATAAAGACAGAAATTAGCGCTTAACTGAAATATATATGAAACCCTAGAACTAAAGGTTTTATCAGTGCCCATATGGTACTTGCTCATGATTCTTCTCCATCTCAACAGCACTAATTGTCAAAAAACCACCTTGCTTATGTATATGCTTGCACTTTTAATTGGCATTCAGTAGTATTTCTCCGAAACAGTTTCCAGGATGAATCCCACTTCTGATGAAAACTGTTAATAGGTAGGAACTGTTACCGAGAAACTAAAGTTTGTATCACAGATTAGAACCTTTAGAATAAAAGAATGTGTCTGTGATTCAAGTCCCAAAACTAAGTTGTTTTGAGAAAAGTAAAAGTATCTCTGTATTTGAAAACCAATTCTGAGACATTTGTGTTTGAACTACAAACAGGGGAGAGGAAATCAGCGTGGGCTGATCCTTAACTCCTAATTAATTCCCAAGCTCAGCTGAGGACTTTCCAAGTTAAGTGACAAAAATGTGTCACTTTTTTTTTTTTTTTACGGTTAAAAGCAGAAAGTGGTTTTCAGGCTTCTCTGTGTTTATGAGAAAGGCTTTTGTTGAGGAGGAGAGCAGCTGCGCAGATAGGTAGTGCTCTGAACTGCTGCTGGCTTGCGTGACAGGTGAGAATTAAGGAACCCCAGCTTGTTCCCTAACTCCTGTAACTTTTACTTTTACTAAATTAAGTTGCTAATCACTGAAAATTTGCTTTCTTCTAAATCTGCTATTTACTTACTTACTTATTTTTTGCTTTGTTTGTTTGGTTTTGGTTTGTTTCAGCAGAAGGCATTGAGTGAAACAATTCCTTAGCCTCTTGTCATATATTCTCTGTGCGTGTGTCTCTGTGTCTGCCTCTGTCTGTCTCTGTCTGTCTGTCTCTCTCTCTCTCTTGCTCTGTTTTTGCAAAGAAAATAACAATGTATATCATATGCTGTTGCCATTCCCGCTCTTAATTACTGCAGAGCAGACCTGTGATTAAGCCATTGCTGGTGAACTGACTTGACAACACGTATTTGCTTAGTGAGAAGGACATTACTTATGTAAGCCATGCACATTCCTGGTGTTTGGGGAGGAGCGCTAAGTTGATTAAGATGCTTGCTTAGCTGTTCCTCTAAGTGAGGCTGTGCAGTGACAGTTCTCCAGATGGGGTTTCCGAAGACTGAGGCTTCTGTGTCTCTGTGATTGCAGCACCCCTTTGGGAGCCTCACTGGATGAGCAAAGCGGTGGAGCACTGAAGGGTAAGAGAAAGTTTTCTGTTTTCAAAACCGAGAATCTTCCTTGGGCTTTTAGATGAAAGTGTATGTTTGAATTATTCAAGTGAGGCTCGTATTTATAAAATACACCATTCCGAGCTAGAAGCCCTAAGGAAAAAAATATTGTCAGAAGCCATAAAAGAACAGTAACTTTAGAACGTTGTTTCCCAAAGCTTTTCACAATGTCATACTTATATTCTTATTGCCCAGTTAGATATTATAAAGACTGATTAAATATGGATTATGTTATATAAATATAAAGAAAATTCATAATGAGTGAACTAGGTTAACTTTAGTGTAGCATTTCTTTGCTTACTCTAACTGAAATTGCCACACCTGAAATTTTCGCACCTATGCAAGACAAAATTCTCAAGTTCAAAGTACAACAAGAATGTACAGGTAATAACAAGGTGACTACAAAGCATTTATAGTGTCAGAAAAATAAAGCTTGAGGCCCTGATTGAACATAAAGGTGTAAAACAAATGGTTGCTCCAAGACCTGGCTTTTTATGGAACTCCTTGGGTCGAGTACTTTGTCTAATCAAATATCTTCATAGGTATAAAAAATATAAAGTATAAGCCCTGAATTCTGCAAGTTTTTCCTGAGTCATTTGTATACAGTAGGGGGAAAAAGTTTGTTAGCATCTTGAAATGACAATCTTAATCATTTTGAGTATATACAGGTTTGAGATATTTTCCCGTAGTTTATGAAATCTTTTGTTTGGTCGACTTGTTTGTTTAGTAACCTTGTACAGTAATGGGGTCATGGGGAAGAGTGGAGCACAAGGGTATGGTTTCTGAATTTTCACACTCTGATCTAGGTGTGCTTGTGAGAAATGGAGGAAGCTTCGAAGATGACTTGTCGCTGGGAGCTGAAGGTATGTGTGTAGAGGAACTGTATCTTTCTGTTGTTTGGGTTATCTTAAGAAATGAGGTAAGGACCGGCACATCTAAAGCTCTCAGAGATCATGTAAAGGTCTTAACAACGGGTCACTTTCACTGTCCTCCCCTGTAGGATTCTTTTCTGGGTGCCTCTGAAATACCATAGCTACAGCTTGCCTGGCTTAAGTGCTTGGAGAACTGTTTGTGACAAAACTATGGAGACCTAAATGAGAGGCAAACTGTCCCAAAGAAGGAAAGGAGCTTAAATATTTATGCAGGAGAAAACTAAGCTGAAGCTGAGTTTTAGTTTAGGGAAGTGGACTCATGTCACACGTACAGCTGTGGCTTGTCTTTCTCCTTATATTTTCCCTATTTTTCCTGGCAGTTAAAGATTAAAGTACAAAGACCAAATAGAGTTAGAATTTAGATCATATGCTGGCGCCTATTTCAGAGTGCTTAGCATTGTAAAAGCATGTCATTAAATTCTTTGTAGGTTCCCAATAAAGCTTTTCACTATGAAAAGTTAGGTTTCTCTTCTTAAAACTCTTTTGTTGTTATTATAAATGGTAGGGCTTTTACTTTGTTTTGAGACAGGTTTTGCACTACTAGGCACAGTGGCCTTGAATTCCTCATGTAGCCTCAGGCTGACCTCCAATTCACCGTTGTTTGGCTTTTGCCTTCTTGGTGCTGGGATTGCAGGTGTGGGCCAGCATGCTTGGATCTACATTGATTTTGTCTTATTTTGTTAGGTAGAATAGGTTATTGGTAGCTCTTACAAAGAAGTAAAGGTTTTTGTTAAATGCTTAAAAAGTAGAAGCTGATGAAGACTAAGTTTGCCCACTGCATTCAGGACCCTTGATTCTTCAGTACTTTACCTCTGATTGTAAGCTGAGTTACTTATTTAGAACATTCCAGCATTCAAACATTCAGAAAGGTTAGAATATGTGCATTTTCATTATCTCTGTCACAATGTATTTTTCAAGAATAAATAAAAACTTTAAATCTCGTCTTTCAAGTCAGTGCTCTGATCAATGCCATCAGCACCTTATGAAGATGCTTGTCAGCACCCATGTAAACAGCTTTGGATGCTCTGATATCTGCCTGGACCATGACTTCAAACAATGTTACCAGTAGGATGTACAAAGAATTGCAAAAGCAATTCTCACAATTTTGTGCATCAGAAATGAAAAAGTCACTGTTGGGGTGAACATTTGTTGTTGTTAATGTCTTTGTTTTATTTTTCTATAAATACAAAATTAATTCTAAACATTGACTTCTGTTTGCTTTGACCTTGTTAATCAAGGATAAAGTTAAGAGGAAGTTTTTACTGGAAACTTTACATGGAAAGGTGTATGTACTAAAGACTGGCACTAACATTAAAAACATATAAGAAGTATGTGAATAGTGTGCTTGTACTTAATGGTGCCCATTCACATTTGCCTTTAAGATGTTCTTGACTGACAAATTTGAAATTTGATAGCATATGCTGTTTATCTTCCCATTACTCTTCAACCTGGTCCGGCAATTTAATCGATTATTTATAGATCTTTTTCCTTTAAACACTCAAATAGGAGTAGTTTTACATTACCAGAAACTACAAGCAACCTCCAAAAGCTGCTGGTCCAGTTCTGGCCTCTCTATAGTAGTTTCAGTAGTGGACATTTAACAAGTCAACTGTGGCAATATAGATAACCTGTCTTCTCCATAATTGGACCATTGTCCTTCTAATCACTGTGCTCTCCATTTATTTATTTTTTGTTTGTAGCCAATCACCTACACGAGCCTGATGCTCAAGTTGAGAACTGGTATGTACCTGTTTGGTTCTGCTTATTTCTAAAAGTGAAAAAGGGTTATAGAATATCAAGTTTTAAAGTATCTTACTATATTTATAGCAACAACATCTTGGCCAAAGAGCGAAGACTACAGTTTCATCAGAAAGGGAGAAGTATGAATTCTACTGGGTCTGGGAAAAGCAGTGGTACAGTGTCAAGGTGAGTCCTGGTGAGGCTGGTTTAACATGGTGTTAAAAGGACCTGTCACCTTCTGTTCTTGGATTTGATGCTGAGAGTATGAATCAAAGGGAACCCAAAGTGTTTTCTAAACTGACACAACTGACAGGAGCTTATTATGTAAAATCCAAGAACACTTGTAACAGCAAATAAAAAGCAGTAGCTATGTTTATAACAGTGCTGCATTCTAGTAATGAGTGATTAAAGCTCTGTGAACATCCTGAAATTAACTCTGTATTGGAGTAACTTCTACTTGGAAACAACCAAAACTCTCTGCTCTGTGAGAGCCTTCAGTAACTCTGACATAGACATCAGCATAAACCTCCTTAATTGGTAACTTGATATTTAGGCTAAATTTGTTTTCAGCGTGTTAATCCAATCTTTAAAGTGTGTGCTAAATCAACTGCGTAGGCCTGTGGAACCAGTTTTCAAATTGCTGTACAAATTGCTGTATCACAGCCGAGGCACTTTTCTTTGAAGCGGAGTAACCTCTCTAATGTTCTTGGTTGCTTATTGAGCCTCAGAAAGCTTGGATTGTCACTGGAGTGAGAGGGTAGGATAGTGTTGAACTCCCAGCAGATAGGGAGCATGGACTTCCCTTTATGTAACTCGTATCCTCCTCACCTTCCTGGGTGAATATGGCCAGAGAAGAGCTGGAGGCTCCTCCCCTGCTTTCTTACCCAGTGTGTCTCCTTCATTGCTTCTTCTAAGACAAAAAAATGTCTGCCAAGCTTATGTTTCCCAGCCGGCTCCTCAATAGCAACGTCCTGAGATGTTTCCCCTTTTCCCCTCTCCTTCAATTTGTTCTTTTCACATCATGCTTGGTCTTTTTGAACTGAATTGCTTTACTGGAAAATCTCTTTAAAATGACCAAGAAAATAAGGTGAGGAATCCCTTAGAGGGTCTATTTTGTTTCTGTGGGAATTAGGGGTTAGCACTTGCGTTTCTGTTTTTCCAACACTAGCACCCTGAGAAAATGCACCTATGTATCCCTTCTAAGGGTTGTATGTCCCATGAGTGCACAATATTAGAAAATACTGAGAAATGTTGGAGTAAAGAACAGAATGTAAGGGGAATGAAGGCGGGACTGCAGATTTCCTGACAATGCAATGTAGACTCTAAGCACAGTTTCCATCTTTGTGTTCCTCTCCTTTGGTTGTAGTGTTTCAGAACTGCTGGAGCTTTATGAAGAGGATCCTGAAGAAATTCTATATAATCTTGGATTTGGACGAGATGAACCAGATATTGCTTCTAAAATTCCTTCCAGATTTTTTAATTCATCGTCTTTTGCCAGAGGCATAGACATTAAAGTATTTTTGAGTGCACAAATGCAACGAATGGAAGTAGAGAATCCAAATTATGCTTTGACAAGTAAGAGTTTGGTGTTAGTGTATTGTTTTTAAAAGTTAGCATCTAGGCCAGATGGTCTTTGTGTAGCACCTGTCATTTTAAAAATAAGGTTAATATTAGAATAGCTGTTTTATACACTCTGGATTAATTACTCTATTTATAGAGATTATTCCATCCCTCCTTCCTCATTAACTCATCATAATTTATTTGCAGAACGTTTTATTTATCTCCAAATTACATTTATTCAAGAAAGGAAGAAGTAGGGGAGGGGTCTATTAATTTTAAATGAAAAATCAGTCCATTTCAGGTGCTTTTCTGTAAATGTAGGATACCTTGGGCAGTTGGGTTCCTTTTAATCCATGTCCCTGCTTCTTTGTTCTCTGTTAAATGGTATTTCAAAACAGGACTCTTCCAAGTTTGTCTGTGGATCAGTGTAAAATACATTTCTGTTTTCTTCGGAAGGCATTTGGAAGTTTTAATGGAGTCCATGACCAAACAATAAGTCATAACTAGAGATCAATAGCTAGTTCTCTTATGTTCAGTATTATCATCATTTTTGTGCTTATTTCTAATTTTTAAATATAAATTCTAATGTTCACAGTAAAAATATTCCTATTCTATGAATGTAGAAATTTAAATGTTCACTTAGGAAAAATATAATTTCATAGTATTTAAGATCTAAATTCAGTTACTAGAATTCTCAACAGCATGCATTTGCTGTATGTACTTATAAGGATAGAATTTGTTTACTATATGTACATATAACATAAGCATATAATTTCTTTTTTTCCTTTCGTAGGCCGTTTTCGTCAAATTGAAGTGCTCACTACTGTGGCCAATGCATTTTCTTCTTTATATTCCCAAGTCTCTGGGACACCCCTGCAGAGAATTGGAAGTATGTCTTCAGTGACTTCCACCAAGGAGGCAACAGACTCCCCTCCTCCTCTGACTCGAAGCAACACTGCAAACCGTCTGATGAAAACACTATCCAAACTAAACTTATGTGTTGATAAAACAGAGAAAGGAGAAGGGGGCTCTTCCCCCGCTGGTGAGAAAGGAAAGAGTCTGAGCATTTCGCTGGCTGAGGACAATGGTGGCAAGAATGACCCCAAGCTGCAGAAAATTATGAAGAAGAAGGAGTCCTCCTCTATGCTGGCAACAGTTACAGAAGAAGTCTCAGGCAGTTCATCCACCGTCACAGACAGTGTTGATGCCGACAGACTTTCTGATGAGGCAGGTGGTAACATTAGACACAAAACGGAAAGGGAACAAAGCAAAGAAACTCCAAGTCAGGAAAACAAACTGCTCCAGAAGTCTCTTGTTTCAGAATCTGACTTAGGCTGTGATGTCAACATGTCCAGCCACTGCGAGCTGGAGAGCAGCAGTGAGCTGAAACCTGCCCATGCGTCCTCGAGTGCACCACTGACAATCCCATTCCTAAGAAGTGTATTGGCGCAGCAGAAAGACTCCTTCGAGATGGAAGAGGTAGGTAAAAGATGCTCGGGGACTACTTTTGAAGTAGAGAGTCGGGAAGAAAAGCCCCAGAAAGCGTCTGTAAAACTGGAGGCTGCTAGCAGATCCATAACTGTGGAAACTCGCCTTTGTGTTGACTTCCTGTGTCATGCTTCACAAACAAGAGTTGGTTGCAGAACAGTGTGCTGTGGAGCCCCTCAGTTTAGATTGTCATCTCCCAGACGACATTTTACCTGCAGCCATTTTGTCCTCAAGCATAAGATTTGGGGTCAGAGAGAGCCTAGAGAGTGTATCTGCAAATCCAAATCAGTATTGCATTACAGTGAAAATGCAGAAATCAAACAGATGTGTGGTTTATTCTTAAAGGGTCCCAGTGACCAGGGTGAGGGCGAAGACAGCGTGTGAACAGATACTAGTGATGGTGTGTGCCTGAGAGGGCGGGCTCTGGAAGGCTGCAGGGTGGGGTTCTGTAAGCCAGGTCAACATTTGGTGGCTTTATTTTACTGATTGATTCTCCTGCTAGTTAGTGTAAATTCTAATCCAGGAGGGAAAAATACTCATGAGGTTCATCTAGAGCTCCTTCTAGACCATAGGGACTGATGGCTATGTGGTCCAGGGCAGGCACCTGCCCTGTGGGAGGGACTACTGCTTGGCCTGAGGATGCTACATGGAAAGTGCTGTCCCATATTCCACAGGAAGAAACTGAGTTGTGACTGTGCATAATACAATATGCAGTTTTTCCTGTTAAAAATGTGAAAGATTTGCTCATCTAACTTTAGAATAACCTTTTTTCCGGTGCAAAGAATGGAGTAAGGATGGTGCCCATAATATCCTCTTAGCTGAGCTTTGTATCAGTCACATTAGAGACTATTTTTTACTTATTTCAAAATTTCAGTTGCTGGGTGAGCTATGTTTTGATTTGATTTTTTTGATGGTTTTTTGAATTTATATGTGTTAATTATGGCTAAAGAGTAAAATGAAAGGGGAATAGAAGAAGCTCTTTGGAATATTGTACATTTTTCCTTTTTTTTTGAGACAGGTTTTCTCTGTATTGTTTTGGAGGCTGTCCTGGAACTCCCTCAGTAGACCAGGCTGGCCTCGAATTCACAGAGAACCGCCTGCCTCTGCCTCCTGAGTGCTGGGATTAAAGGTGTGCACCACCAATTCCCAGCTTGTACATTTTTCTTGTAGGCTACTTTTTCCTGTAGTTTATCCTTCCATTTTTTTAATTTCTAAAGTAATTTATGTCTTAGTAGAATTAGTATGGAAGAGAATTATTATGGTTGCTTTACAACCTCATCTCTGTCCTATTGATTCCTGTTGGATGTTGTTCTAGTCTAACTAGTCCTGACTACTAAGTCTAGTCCGACCCTTCCCTGAACCCACAGCTTCCACACTTGAGCACTGTACTGCATTATACAAACCCATACAAATTATGCACTAGCTAAAAATTTTGTGTTGTTGACTCAGTTTGGACAGCAGAAGGTTGGCTGTGACTTCTTTGTGATGTCTAGGGTTTTCAAGAATTCATGAGTTCCAAGCAAAAGTGTAAGGGGCAGTTCTCTGAAAGCGTTCTGATAACATTCATCGAAGGTCCATAACACCTGAAAATGGTAGCTGCAGTTTGGTGGTAATTTCCTTTCTTCATAGACCTTTTTTCGTTTGCGCCCTCTGCTGGCAAAACTAGTTAATGACAAAATAATGTGAACCTTTTGGTGAAGTGTAAAACTACGTGAATAAGTTAAGGAATATTAGATCTTTGGGGTGTGTGTGGGGGGGTCACTAATAATGGAGCTGTATGTTTGTAGCATCCAGAGGGCTGAGGCAGGATGACCACGAGTTTGAGGCAAGCTGAATTACAAAGCAAATTCTAGGCTAGTAGCCTGGTATACATAGTAAGATATTTTCTCAAATAAACAAATTATTTTGTCAACTTTGTCTATTGTAAATAGAGACACTTTACGGTTAATGAATCCTTGCTTTTTTCATATCTATCTAAATATGCATTAAAAACCTAAAATTCTGCTTTTTTTCTTAGGGAACTTTAGAGAAAGGTTATGGAACAATGACTAAAGTAGGGAAATGTGTTGTTTTCATTTCCTCTTAAGCATAATATCAATCATACTAACAGACAAAGAGAACAGTCCCCCTGAGGGCGATTCCATCCCTTCAGAGGAACTTGCACGGCCTCTGTGGGAAATTCCCTTTGCCTGGGGTCCCATTCCTGTAGAGACTGCTTTTTCCTGTGTACGCTGCAAGTAGATACAGGTTAGAGCTTTTCAGAAAGCTTGCTCTCCCCGCGGTCGGTCTCAGAGCCTTCAGCCCTCGGTGGTGTTCTTCGGGTGAGGCAGCCTAATCATACTGGAGGTAAGGAGTGACAGTAACCAGGACCTAACAGGAAACAGGAAAGATGTTTAAATGTGAAGAGAGTGAAACACAAGACAAGACTGATACAGGCCTAGGAGAAGTGTCTATTTCTTTTATTTAGGAAAAGAAAATGATGAAAAAGCTCATAGACTGTTTTAGTTAAGTCAGCTTGCCTTCTAAAAAAATGCCATTTCAGAATGTCCAGAGTATCCAGAAATTCTAAACCCTTTGGGTGAGATGTGGGGAAAGGATTTTAATTCTTAGTGGCTCAAATGGATAATTTTTGTTTGTTTTTGGTGGCTTGTTTGAATATAGCATAGTTACTATGCTGTATTCAAGGAATTGAACATCAGAAGTCTGGATGGTTCAGTTAACTGTTCATCCTATGGATGAACAGTTGCTCATGCTTTGTGGATAAGATATGTCTGTAGTGGTGTTGGGAGCCCTCCTCTGTGTGCCAGGTAGTCCTATCATGGTGTTAATGAGCTATTTAAGTGTAATTGTTACTAGGTGAACACACTATTTCTTGAGCTCCTAAAGTAACTTTCTAATCCTGCCCTTGTACTTTTTATTGGTTTTCAGCTAATACAATTTATTACTTTTAAAGTTTATTTTATTTATTCATCTGAATACAAATAATTCCAAATCAGGTATTTAAGGAACAGCTTACACTGTTTCGTTGACCCACAAAATTTGGCTGTGAATTTTGTTTCTTGAGACAAGGTCTTGCTGTGCAGCCAAGGTTGACTCTGAACTCACTTTGATTCTCCCTCTTCATCCTCCCAGATATTGGGATTACAGGCCTGTACCACCATGCCTGTCTCTAGCTCTAGTTTCTGAAGATAAGCATAGGAATTCTAACGATTGATATCTGTCCTAATATCCCAAATCCCAAATAGTCACTGGGTTTGTTATTTGCCTTTTTTAAAATCTAAAATACCTTAAGTTTTTTGAAAATTATATAGTAGTGGAAACAAACTGTGTGGTGTGTCTTTTAAAACTTAACAGTTTTCTTTAAGGTAACTTACAAGTAATTACAGAATCATAGACTAGTACAAAGGTTGCTTGCAATTGTTTCCCTCCTTTTATACCTCCCTGGCACTTAGATACCACAGCTCAGCGGTGACTTTCACCACATCTCGGAGGGATGTCACATTCCCTATGATGTCAGGGGAAGATGGACAGGAGATGGGTGTGTGTCAGTGAGAGGAATCTTCTGTCATGTGTCCTTGTTACTTTATGTCTCAAAGTTCACTTGCAGTTACCTTTGATTGTTTTAAGGACTGTGGTGGAAGACTTTTCACCCTTATTTTGTAATTGCGAAAACATATAATTATCCCAGATAATTTTTAGAAGCCAATAAATGGCATTAGTAAGACTGGTTTCTTTTAGCTGCACCATACACTTACCATAGAACACATAGGTGGGTGGAGATTGCTGAGATCACTGGACTAGAGCTCAAGTTCTTGTTACAGCCTCATACAACTTCTTTGCAAAGCATTGTTTCTTTATTCCTTCTTTTTCTGTGATACAACACATAATTGTAATTTCTAAGACTCTAGATTTTATTTCAGCAGTATTTCTATGTAGTGTGTATATGATGACAAGTATAATTAGTGTTGTTCTGATCCCGGTAAAGGACCGGGTGAGAGCTGAATAAAAAAGACATTATGATCAAGAAACCAAAGCTGATAGACACTGATTCAGAAAACTGTCCCCAAAACATTAAGAATAAGTGACTTTGTCTTATTTTGGCTTAATGTGGTTTTTGTTCATTTGTTTTCCTGTTGTTATGGAAAGTTTTGAACCTACCTAAAGTTTAGAGAATTGTATGATGAAAGCCTATTACTTATTATTCAATTCATTTGTGTTTGATTATATTTTTAAGAATAATCACCCGCAGCACTGACAGGAAAGCTTGCTGTTTAGATTTTTATTCTGTATTGACTCCCTGACTTTCCACTCAGATCTGACTTTTGCGTAGTTGTGACCAATAATAACTAAGAAAGAAGTCGTCACTTGCTGTCTTAATGCTGTAAAATTTGCTGAGTGAGAATATTTTTACTGATGTTAGTTTTGTAAGTAAACATGGCCCTCTCTGTTGTCAGTGCAAGGATAAAGGGCTTTTAGTAGAAGGTGAGTGATTTTTTTTTCCGTATAACAACATCATGAAGGATAGACAGTTAGAGAAGGTAGTGAGTTCTTTAAATCCACACTACTTTGTGATTAATTTTATCTCTAAGGAAATAGAATATTTTCTAATCCTACATTTTAAAGTGAGAAATAGTAATTTGTTGTGTCTAAGCTAAGATTCCTAAAATATAAATAATTATCCGGATTTGTTTTGTACTTTTAAATCTAGTTAATGATTGTTTTTTAGAAATCTGTCTGTATTAGGTTGGGCCTGAATAGCAGCTAATAATAGGCCTTTTGTTGAATATAAAAAGAAAATGTGTTCTGTTCCCTTGCATTTAAAACAATGGGTTTCCGGTTGGACTTGTATCTGCTGCTTTGAATAATATAATTTTTAAATAGTAGCGAAGAACTGTAGAGCTTACTTTGTATGTCTCATACCCAGGACAGTGTTAAATGGTCACTACTTTCAGTTTCTTCAACTCATAACTATAGATTAATGGAACTATGTGGTAAATAACTATCCTGTCGAATCAGAAATTCCTGAACAGGGTAGTAGGATTGTTAAACTTTGTGGAGGTGGAATGTATGCATTTGTGTCTGTGTGCGCGCGCGCGTGTGTGTGTGTGTGTGTGTGTGTGTGTGTATGTGTGTGTCTTTTTCTTCATTCTTTTAGGAGTATTTATTAGTCTTGAATTAATTCATAGCTTGAAGTATACCAGGATTCAAATTAAACTTTGTTTGCTATTTACTCTATGATTTGGTCATTTTGCTTACTTTTGTGTGGTAAAGTGTTGGAAGTTAACATGTGCCTCCTCCAAATGATACAAGTTAGTCATTAGAATAGCTAGCTAGTGACTCCACAGGGTGAGGGTGGCATTTAGAATAACAGTTTTCTAATCAATGATGAATTTGTGCAGGTAGGAATAAGATGGACAACTTCTCTGGATTTGGTACTTCATTAAATAGAATTTTTAGAGAGAGTATATGGATAAGACTTTTCAAGGTTTGTTTTAGTTGTTTTAAGATTTCCTTTTCATTCACATACAGACATGACTGTAAGAAAACGCCGCATATAGTGACTTCATTTCTGAAAAGTTGCCATAGGTGAAAGATGGCCCATACCAGGAAGTTGCTCAAATGTTAAACTTTAAAGTAGTTTCAATCTGAGGAAAAATGCTAGTCTATGTATCAAATATGGCCCAGTAATCACTTCCTGTGATACACAGATTAACATTTTTCCTCAGATTGAAACTACCATAAAGTTTAATATTTGGACAACTTTCTGGTGTGGTAGTGTTTTCCTACAGTTAAGTCTGTGCAGTTACTTTGTATGTTACTTCTCTCCCAGCTACCTAGGTAGAGTGTGCACATCACTTGGGAAAGTAGGTCAGAAAATATAGCTGTGGCACATGCTGACAATTTTGAGATAAAATGCTATGTGATGTTTGGTACACTTTAGCCAGACTGATTTGTTTAATGAATTGCCATCAAGTGATACTCAGTTCTTGGTCATAGATTCTCTTAACTGCAGAGGTTTCTCTTTTAGGTTCAGAGCACAGAGGGAGAGGCACCTCACGTGCCAGCCACTTGCCAGCTAGGTCTTGCCAAGTCAAAAAGAGGTAAGTGGAGCCACTACCCACTAGTTCCCCATAATTACTGTGTGTTGTCAGCTGGGAAGGAAAGGGGTTATCTATCAGTGTGCATAGTAGTTAAGTGTGAAAAGATTAGGGTATAGGGTGGGTATGTTATCATTCATCCAGTTGTTGTGGGGTTTTTATGCTGGGGAGATTTTTGTACTTATAAACTAATACTAGATTGTTTATCCTGTAATGACCCCATTAAATATTTCTGGGTGCTCTAAATATTATTCAGTTCTACACATGTACTGAAACAGATTAAGACTACTTTTACATTGTTATGACTGAAAACTCTTATGTTCTCTGGGTGTTCTTTATGCAAACATATCTTGTAATGTAACTGGCAAAACTCACTCTCAACAGTTAAACCAAGTTAGATAAATTCAAAGTGTAGATCAAAGGTGAGTAGCCCCAGATACCACTCTCCCCTTGAATCGTTAATTATTGACCAGAGAACCTTTGCATCCATTGCCTACACTTTTGACTTGGAACTGGAGAATACCGTCTGACTTTAGATTTGCCAAGCTTTTGATAGTTAAAGAGGGAGACATTAAATGACCACTGAAGGTAGGACTGTTTATTTTTAACCTGGTTTCTTTTTTTTTTAAACAAAAATGTGTATGTATGTTCTTAGAATAGGAAATTACATGTTTGTCCTCCTGATCTCTGAAATTTCTCCTGAGGGACAGTTTGCACGTGACTTTTCTTTCATTGTGGTATGGCATTGAAGAATAGGGGCTCTTAGTCACTGCAGCTCTAGTCAAACACAAAATGAACTTTCTCCTTGGCTTTTCTTTCTTTCTTAAGTCCATAAATAATTGTATCTGCTTCTGAGGTGTAAAGTGATGCTTAAGACTTTGCCTTCGGTGGATAGGCAAGGGCCATATTGGACAAAGCAACCTGTCATGCACCAAAGGAGGATAAAACAGAAGAGTAAAATGGCTCTAAGTTCTTTTAGGGAAACCGTGAGTGATGGGAAGATGTGTTCAGTTCAGGGTCAAATCTGAGCTTCTTCCTCTCACAGTCTTCAGTCTCTTGTTTGTGGCAACATAAGCAAAACTATTAACATATTTGTATATAAGTATATTATAAGGAACAATAAAGAGCTTCTTGTATGCATTAATGAGAAAGGAGGAGGGGAAACAGAAACATTTTACCCATTCTGGAAGGTAGCCTATTGAATTCTGGTAATATAGTATCACTTACTGATCATGTTTTCAGATTGAGTCACCAGCAGGACACTCATCTCACAAGTTTAATAGAAACAGTGCATGGCTTCACTAGTAGGACTTTACAACTTGAACTTCCCTAATCTAAGGTGCAGGGACTCTCCTGCACCTTACAAAGGTTTAGTGGCTCACCTCATGTCCTGGCCTAATGTTCAATGAGCTTCTTAGGAGTCTAACACTGTTCTTGTTATAGAAGACATGATATATTTTCTTAAAACTCTAGAAAGATGTATGGATTTTATTCAGTTTCTTTGATACTAAACAGATGGTTTCCATGTTTTGTGTTTTCACACTTAAATGCTTCCAACTTTTATGTTTAGGTAATATTCAGTGTCTTCAGAACTGAGAATTAATCCTTCCTGGATCTAAATTTCTCTAGTAAAGAACTGTGATTTATAAGATTTCCTTATTTTATTGTATGAGTATTTTGCTTGTGTGTATGTCTGTGTACCTGGTGCCCATAGAGGCCAGAAAAAGATGTTGTATCCCTAGAACTGGAGTTACACTTGTTTGTGAGCCGCCATGTGGGTGCTGGGAATCGAACTCAGGTACTCTGCACAAACAAATGTTCTTAACTATTGCGCCCAAGAGAACTATGCTTTTTATGGAACGGAAATGTCTGCCTAAAGACTTTAGATTGCGATATTTAGACTCTTAGAATGTTTGTTTATTTTTAGGCAAGGCCTATCTCAGTAGCTCAGGCTGGCCTTAAACTCAAGCTCTACTTGTCAGTCTCTCTGGTATTGTTGATGACCACAGCAGTGCCTGTGTGCTTTGTAGCTATGGGAATACTTTCCTGCCTTGCCCTGAAGTAGCCCAGGCAATGGAGGGCTCTGATCCCAAACCCCAGAGGAGAGAAGTTACTGCTTTGCCCCATGAACCAAGGGAGAAACTTCAGCTCTTTGTTCTGTTCACTTCCCCATGCCCACTCACTGTGTGAGTCACATGGTGCTCAGTTTTGAGGGAAAGCTGCAAACCTGCTCAGACCTTGTTCTGCTGCACCTTCAACAGATCGTTAAAGAAACAGTCTGACCCAGTCATTCTGACTTCTCTGTACTCCACCGAGATTCCCTTTTCCCAACCAAATAGGCACTTTAACTTGTACATCATTTGCATGGCTGCTTAATTGTTGTGTTGAGAGTTACAACTGAGTCATTAAGCAAACATTGCTATGTTGTTCTACATACCAGAACATTAAGAATAAGTGAAGTTCCCGATTTCATGGGCTCATAGTTATAAAAGAAAACAAAACATAGCAGAGACATGGAAGCACCAGTACAGTGACGAGTGCTCTGACATAAATTGTTCATTTGTTGTTAATTCATTTTTGAATGAATGTAATGCCCCATTAGAACTGGTGGTAATGGTGTGTTACAATTCAGTTTGATAATTATTCCAGCTTTTCTAGGCTTGGTAAGGATATGGATCTCTTCCTTAACTCAATATGAAGCTTTATTAATGACATGGCATTGTTGCCGAATCAGTCTCAGTTTTTAATAGGGTCAAAGATGCAAGTAAACTTTAATTTTTGATTTTATATAGTCATATTATCTGGTTCAGATGATTTGGTAAGCACTGTATTTAGCCTGTTGCTTCTGAAGTTCTACAAAAGTCTCCTGTCTCTCAGATCCTTGCAAATGAACTAGCTATAATGTCCCCTCTATGGTAGCTCTCCTATGAATAGAATGTCATCTTGCTTGCTGTTCTTAGCACCTTTCTCAAAGCAATATACATATTTATGTACTTAGAAATTAGACCTTTGTGACATAAAAATAAACATGTCTTATGATAAAAAGTCATGCATTAATTGAATCTTTGACTTCATTGTAATTGTTATGAAAGAATTATTTCTTAATGCAAATACTTGCATCATTAGAAACACCAGAAATATTTAAATACCCTTGCATTTCAAATGATTTAGTTTATTGTCCTTAATTTCATTCCTTCATACTAAGAAGATACAAAACTTTTTTAATGCATTCTGCATATAAACTTCTAATTTTATAGATTTACATAATGTAATTTTTTATTTCATCCAGTTTTTCTCTATGGTAAGACTTAATTGGATTTCCCAAATACATGACCATTGAAGCCTAATTAACAAGTGAATACTAGCTAATTTTCTGCTAGAAAATCTGATCCAGCTTTTATTTGAGCTTGAGTTACTTACCATGCTTTCAAGCCATGATTTTTCATAAGTTCTTTGTGCTGCTTTATTGGGGATCATATCTGTGATAATGTTACTGCCCTTGCAGGCCTACGCAGTGGTTTTATTTAACATGTTTTACTGACAGATCATCTGCTGCGAACTGCAAGTCAGCATTCCGACAGCAGCGGCTTTGCTGAGGATTCTGCAGACTTCCTCTCCCTCAATCATCTTCAGGTACTAGTTCCTATTTTAATAGGCACTTTCATTAGCACCTTTGTGTCTTACTGCAAGATGGTCTGTCAATGGATATAAGAATAAAATGTCTGGAATGTAGATCTTGGCTAAGTTTCAGGTTTTACTCATTCATGATCTCTGAGTATTTTTTTAAAATCTAAGTTTTGTATTACTGGTGACTAAATTATTTTGGCCATTAAACTGTTTGACCTGATGGTTTTTTTTTCTTATTTGCTTGTATTAGTATATCCCAGCCTTTTATAATATCGTGTTTATTTGAAAACTCCTATTCCTGCTAGTTATACAGGGGCATCTGTGAAAAGTTCAGCTGTCTTAGGCAACCCAGAAGGCAGGGGCTTCTTTATCCTTGAGGAGCTGCTGGTTGCTTGGTATGGAGAGTCACAAAATGCACAGAAAAGGTGTTCAAAGTGTCTTTAATAAAATTTGAAATAAGGGGGAAAATAATAAAGAGCTTTCTAAAAACATGCCATTTGAAGGGTAAATAGGCAAGAGAGTCACCCAGGAAAACCCAGAAAGAGTCATTATGGGAGAGGAGGAGACCACAAAAGTCTGCTCCGACCTGAGTTAGTGGCAACCGGTAACAGCTGGGGGGGAGTGTCATTTTTCTTTGGAGCTCTGGCTACTAGCAGGTTGCCCATGTTCCAGTGGGTGGTCTTGCATGAACCCTGTACATATAGGTAAGACTGGCTAGACTCAGTGTGTTATCAACATTAAAAAGCAAAAACTAGGTTATGCTTAGTGGGGGGGGGGAGGGGGACATGTTGTGTGGGAATCTAGGGGGAGTTGGAGTGGAGAAATGGAATGTAGTTATGACCATATTTCATTATGTTCATGCATAATATTAAGAGACTAAATTAAAAAACTTCTTAAAACTATTGGAGAGAATTCTTCAAGTTAAAATGAAAAAATAGTAATCAGTAATATGAAGCGTGTAAAACTTGTTAATAAAGGTAAATAGGTATCTACTCCCCAGGTTGTAATTCCTTGACTTGAAATTTGTAGCTTTACAATACTGCAAAAGTGATTTTTGTTCTGTAGAAATCTTTGAATTTCAGTATTTAATTGTGTTTTATTATATAGGATAGTGACAGTGGGTGCAGTCTGGTATGTGTTCTGGAAGTGAATAGGTTGTACTCTACAGTATACTGTATGTCAGTATTTTATGGGTATTGTGTTTTGAGTTTTTACATTCTGTTATGTTTGTACAGTAGTCATTGTCTTTCCTGTACTTACACAATTTTGTTTTCCATTTATAGTATTCGATAAATTACATAACATAAATATTTTAGTAATAAAATAAGATTTATTTTGGATAATTTTGCTCACCTGTAAGTTAGCATAAGTGGTTTGAGCATACTTAAGATAGAATGGGATAAGATATGATAATTGACCGGTTATGTATATTAAATACATTTAAAATGAATAATGGAATGTACAAAAAAATGGCCAATGGGAAGAAGGTATGTAATTGTGATGAAACAGACAAGGTAAAGGCAGACTGAGTTATATGTCAATAATGAGGAAGGAAAGGAAGACACTTGGCTAGCTTGTCAAGTAAGGATGACTGCTTCCTTGAAAAGGTCCCTATGTCTTAGCATGGGAGGAAAACTTTCAGCTTAGGGAAGGGACCTCAGTGTAAGAAGCGTTTGATCCAGAAGAATCTGGGATGAAACTGTGGAGAGACCCCTGTTCCTGAAGCCTCATGATCACAAGCACAGCATGGTTAGATGTGAGAAAAGAACATGATTCCCTTCAGAATGAAGAGAAGGTGATGAGAGCTAGGGAAATTAGAGGTATGGAAGAGAACAGTTTTGTCCAGTTCTGTGAGCCGGTGTCATATGTTGGAAAGGAAACTTAAGAAAGATCTTAGACAATCTTGAGGAGTAGGTGGGGAGGGAGATGGTAAAAACCAGAACAACCATGAGAGGAGACCATTGAGTCCAGACACATCTCATCTGCAGCCTTTTGTCAGTGGTGTCTCTCTGACTTTATTCCCATTCTTCCAAATGTTTTCTGTTTCAGGTTCATGAATCCCTGCAAGCCATGGGGAGTAGTGCTGACAGCTGTGACAGTGAGACAACTGTCACATCATTTGGTGAAGACCATGTGACTCCTACAGTACAAGATCAGCCTTATTTTAATGAGTCAGAGGAGGAGTCCTGTGCCCCCGTTCAGAAAGGAAAAACAAAGGTTGTAATAGTTTCTGACAAAAGAAGAGTAAGCAACCAAGATTTCCCTCCATGTGAGACTGCAGAGAATACTGGAAACCAAGAGTCCACAAAGGGTCCAGGTGACCCTGACCCTCAGCTTATTGAAACGGAGGAGGATGCACCTCCAGCACCAACTGGAGAGGTCCTGAGGGAAGGTAGTGGAGACAGTGATGTGGAGAGAAGCAGTGAATGTGAATTTGCCCAGTATACCACACATCACATTCTCAAATCCTTGGCTTCCATTGAAGCTCAGTGCAGTGGTGTGAGCTCTGAAAAGAAAACCGAGTTTCCCTCTTCTGTGGATAGAGTTAATACTGCCTTACAGAGAGCTCAAATGAAGGTTTGCAGTCTGTCTGGTCAACGAGTAGGGCGTAGCCTAATAAAATCAAAAGATCTGTTGAAACAAAGGTACTTGCTTGCAAAAGCTGGCTATCCCCTAAGAAGGTCTCAGTCTTTGCCGACCACCTTACTGAGCCCAGTAAGGGTTGTGTCTTCTGTCAATGTACGACTATCTCCAGGAAAAGAGACCAGGTGCAGCCCACCTTCCTTCACCTACAAGTACACACCTGAAGAGGAACAAGAATTGGAAAAGCAAGAGACTGGACATGATGGTCAGTCTATGGTTAAATCCACCATCTTCATACCCACTTCCTCTGGGAAGAAAGAAGAAGCCCCTCAGAGTGAGGTGACAAAACTGGAGGACTGCCACCATGGAAGGCTTCCCTCTTGTCCACAGTTTGCTGCAATATCCCAGTCTACCTGTTCCCTTCACTCTGTCCATGAATGGCAGGACAGGCCCCTGTGTGAACACATGAGAACCCTGAGTGCTCACAGCGTCCCCAACATATCAGGTGCCTCGTGTAGCGCCTTCTCTTCTCCTCTTGGGTGTCCCTATTCACATAGACATGCTGCCCACCCATACAGGACATGCCCCGTGAATCCTCCTTCTGCAATAGAGATGCAGCTGAGAAGAGTATTGCACGATATTAGAAACTCACTACAGAATCTTTCACAGGTAAGATAAAGAGGTCTTTCTATTTTATTGCAATTCTTCCTAATTGACCAGGAAACTAGAACTGAGCAGACAAACCACCTGAGCTTATTTTCCTACATGTCTGAACTCATCTCTGCCTGCTCTCCTAGACACATCCCTCCTGTGTTGTGGGGGAAAGCTGTAACTAACCCTGAACAGTTCATTCTGTGCTGAGAGCTTCTTCTTTGTAGAGATGGAGTTGTTTCATGGTGTTTTTCCCTATTCATCCTCTCCTTCATTCTCTTTGTCTAAACCTGAGAGTGTCCTGTTAAAAGCATCTTCAGCCCTCTTCCTGTTCTCTGCCATTGGATGTGTTGATCACCCCTAACTATCTAAGTCTTTTCTTTGGCTGCCTCCACTGGCACGATGTTCTCCTGGTTCTTGTAGCTCTCTGACTAAGCTTTCCTCTTCACCTGCTGACTTCTGATGCTGGCCTCCTGGCACAGAATTAATCTGTTTCCATGGTCTCAAAAGTGGAACCACTCCAAAGAGAATCAGGTAAAGTATGAATTCCGAATGCATGCCATCTGTTACAGTGAAATATTGGATGGGAAGCAGCTTTGGTAAAAATCAAAGTTGCAGCTTTCCAAATAATAATGAGATGCACCTTTTAAATACCATCTTTGTCCCACTGACAATTGTCCCTAGTGATTTATAGTCTGCCCAGAACATACCTATGTCTTCTTCCCCATAAAACATAGTTCTGGCTGTGACTGAGTTGCTCAGCATTTTCACCGTACTTCTGTGAGGGTGGGAATTTTCAGAGCCCTCTATCTGTGCCTCTGTGGTGTGCCTTTCTAGGCCAGCCTCTCCAGCTGTGGTTTCTTGGTCATGAATGTTCCATCAATAACTCAGTTGATGAATCTCCCCACCCCATACCTCACTCTAGCAGACAGATGATTCTCTGTAGTCTCCTGCTTAGATGATACAGGGTTCTCAGTGTCTGTGAAGTTGGGTGATCTATACCTCTCGGTTGGTTGGTTGGGTGCATGCTTTCATTGTTGCTGTTTTCCAACTATAGGGCTCTGTCTTTGCTGTTCTTTGCAAGAACTGCAAAACCCCAGCGGTGTCTAAAGCTCAGTTTAGCTGTCACCACTATAGGCATATTTACCAACTGAACTTTTGCTTCTTTTCATGATATTGCCTCCTACCACATATTCACACACACACTCTCACACACTCACACATACTCATACATATTTTCTCACACACATGCACACTCATATTCACATCTATACACACTTACATCCACACATGCTAAAACACATTGCAAACTCATACATTCATTTATACTACCACACTCATATACTCACAAACACACTTGTCTCACACATATACTCACAGACATATGTCTACACTGTTCTTTTTTAACTTTTTTCCCTTACATTGTGAGTACAAGGCACCTTTTTGTCTTCTCTACCTTTAAAAGCAGAATATGTCCCACTGAGAGTGTATGTGATGGTCACTGGCTACTTTCTCCAGGCCCACCAGTGTGATGCAATCTCCTGTTGCATTTGCTTCCACATCTCCAAGTTCCAGTTTGGCTTTTCTACTTACTTTCTCAAGACAAGAAGGAAATTCTGTGAAAACACACACACACACATGTGCATACACGCACTCACACAACATACACACGCACACGCACACGCACACACACACACACACACACACACACACACACAAGTTTTCCTTTGCTTCTTACTTCTCCAAAACAGAGTCATTTGGAGCTGGAATATTTAAGAATAATACGTGGTTTTAGAGACTAGTTTCCTTTGTTGCTGATTATAGTGTAAAATGTTGTTGGATTTGATTTAGCTTAAAAAGAAATGATAATGCATGTCTTAAGTTAGCCTCAACACCATAGAGAGCTTGGTGGTAGTCACTTTGACATGGCTTTTAATCCTGTGTCATCTGTCTGAAGTATCCTATGATGAGAGGACCTGATCTTGCTGCTGCTTCATACAGTACTCAGAAGTCGTCTGTTCTACCTCTTTATGAAGTAAGTTCCTTCCTAAATCTTTTAGTTACAAAGTAATTAGTGTGATTAGGAAGTGTAATCTTGTTACGTTGCATTTCAGAATACCTTCCAGGAGCTTCAAGTCGTGAGGCGGAGCCTGAATCTGTTCAGAACGCAGATGATGGACTTGGAGTTGGCCATGCTGCGGCAGCAAACCGTGGTGTACCCTCATATGACAGAGGAGGACAGGTAAGGACTCATTTGTGTTGCTGCAGTCAGGGCCTGCAGTGTAGGTTCTTGAGAATGCAGCTTCGTTCACACTCCATGAACTCTGTGTTTAGTGAAGCAGTTTAGGCAAGAAACAGGCCCAGGGAGTTCACTGAGTTATACCTGTGCCTCCGGTGTGCTAAGTAAGACTCTCAGTAGTCTGCTTTCCAGAGAGGTGAGAGTGGAGGGGATCAAAGACCTAGTCATGGTCTGGAGAGATGGTTCAGTGGTTATGAGCACTGACTGCTCTTCCAGAGGACCCAAAGGGTCAATTCCCAGCACCCTTGTGGCAGCTTACAACTGTTTGTATATAATTTCAGTTTTAGGGGATTTAACACCTCACACAGACATACAGGCAAGCAAAACACGAATGCACATGAAATAAAAATAAAAATAAATAAATAATTTTTAAAAAAGGTCCTAGTCATTACCTCAGGGTTGCTTCTGTCTGAAGTTATAGAATCACAATCTTTTGTAAACCTTTTGTAATATCATAGTATTCAAAAGTGTAGTGACTAGAAATCACTTGGCTACTATTTTTCCAAAGTTCTGCTTGTCCCAATGTGATAGGTATGAAGTTGATCAGCTGCAGGGTTTGAGGAACTCTGTGCGAATGGAACTGCAGGACCTGGAGTTGCAGCTGGAGGAGCGTCTGCTGGGCCTGGATGAGCAGCTCCGTGCAGTCCGGGTGCCTTCACCGTTCCGATCCTCTGTGCTCCCGGTAAGCTGTGGGGTCCAGAGTCGGAAGAGGGTTACTCATAGTGTGATTAGGACAGGGGACTTAGTCAACCATTTTCTTTAATGGCTTTTTAGGACCATGCACAATGTTTTTGCCTTGATTATCTTCATATTGTACACATTAGTTTTTTTGTACAAAGTATGATAAATTCATATTTAGTAAATTTAGAAACACATTGAAAATTTTAAGCATAATTTTCAGATAGAAAAAGCAAAGGTTAACATAAAAGATGTTTTTGAAGGAAAAGTTTTAGTGGATTAAAATATGACTACTTTAAGTTCGTATCCCTGCTTGTAACTCCAAAGAACATGATATAGTACTCCTTTTCTCCCTTCCTCCTTGTTTAAATAAGTAGCTGATCCCTTTTAATGTTCCCTTTGTTTTCAGTTCAGTTCTTTTCTATTCCTTGTGGTTTTTTTTTTATATTTTTGTGGTTTTGATGCTGAAGATTGAACGTGAGGCCTCCCCTAAGCCAAATGCATGCCTTGTCCACTGGTGGAGCCTCCAGTGCCTTCCTTGTCTACTTAAGGAAGCAAGTGTGATGTCCTGATGTGATCCGTTTATACAAAAGGAATAATGAAGGAACACTGTTTGTCTTCATGTTGTGGGATGTCCTGATGTGATCTGTTTATACAAAAGGAATAATGAAGAACATTGTTTATCCTTATGCTGTACCATTTCTCCATATTTCTAATGTGCTTCCCATGGAATTTGAGCTTCACCATTATATTCTTATTTTTGCCAATACTTTCCGGTTATAAAACATGCTGGCTTGAAATTTTGAATCTTATCCTGCTATTTCATGTTTGATTTTATTAAAAATAAATGGCTGTATGTGTGTATTTGGACATGTACAAAGAAGAATGTGTATGTACATAGATAAAATAATGTTCCTCATCATTATGAATGCTTCCATGGTTTTGAACCATCATTCTGAGAAATGTGTTGGTGGGAATAGAGAACCATAATGTCTGTGGAGTTCTGACAATGATACATTTGATGGAATTCATGGTAGTTGACCACAGTGTTTGTGACATAAAGTGATATTTCAAGGAAATCAGTAGCCAAGTAATTTTAGTATGAAGCATTTGCAGTATGAGAAAATGTATACAAGTGTAAGCTTGTGTGTTGTACTTACCTTTTCAGGGGATGTGTGGCAGTAGAAGTGCTGATAACTTATGCCCGTCTCCACTGAATGTCATGGAACCAGTAAGCCTCTATGCTTCTTAGGTCCCGGGGAAGGGTGCTGTAACACCAATGTGCAGTTTTCCCAGTTCCTATAAAAAGCATGCTTGTGTTAAATACAGAATTTAAGATATTGATTGGAAGTGGGTACCATTTTGGGCCACTAGAAAGCTAGCTTCATTGCAATAATGATTTGTCTTTATAACCTAAAGGAGATAATGCACCATAGAAACATTTCATTTATACTCCACGGAGTCCTTTCATGTCAGATCAAGGTTCCTACAGGATCTGTAGAATGACTTATGTATTCATCATTACATTTTAGAGTCATTGGCAAAGCCTTCTGAGGAACTGTTTTATTTTTCCAATTTTCTTTAATTACTCCTTCATGGAATTCAGACATCTATATATTAACTAACAAAATTTCACTTCTGTGTTTCCTATGTTCCTAAGTTATGACTTGAGATTATTATGAATTTAACTTTGCTTTTGTAAATGAAATTGACCAGTTAATAAGTTAATGAAATAGAATTAGGCCCTTAAAATATCCATGTGATTTAGGACAATAAGCGTTGCTGGGAATTTAACCTTCTGAGTTACTAGCCTTTATCTTGCAAATAAAGAATAATTTTATTGGCTTCCAGGTCACAGAATTGATACGGGAGCAGTCATATCTGAAGTCCGAGTTGGGCCTAGGACTTGGAGAGATGGGGTTCGAAATTCCTCCTGGAGAGAGCTCAGAGTCCGTTTTCTCTCAGGCCACATCAGAGTCCTCTTCTGTCTGCTCTAGCCCCTCCCACAATAACAGAAGATCCAGAGGACCTTCTGGCAACTCGGGCAACAAACCCAGAGCCCACTTAGTGGCAAGAAAGAAGATATTTCGAGCCTCTGTGGCCCTGACACCAACTGCCCCCTCTAGAACAGGCTCTGTGCAGACACCTCCAGATCTGGAAAGTTCTGAGGAAGCTGGAGCAGCTGAAGAAACCTCACAGGCTGTGGGACTTACATCTCACGTGGAGGAAGAGCAAGAAGACCTCCCACTGATGCCAGCTGCAGAGGAAATGCATCGGAACGTGGAGCAGGATGAGTTGCAGCAAGTCATACGCGAGGTGGGTACAGTCTGGACTTGTGTCATTAATTACAGTGTGTGTCCTGGTAGATTTGACTCAGATGCTGCTTACTTGTGAGACTGATTTCACTTAATATAATAATTTGCAGAAAGCTTTAGATTAGGTTTCGCATTGATTGTGCATTTCTGCAGATTTTATTCTGCAGAGTAATACACTCTAGTGGAAAAGTTATTCATAAAGTTTGAAGGAGGGAAAGCCCTTTAGACCTCTCATTTCCACTTGTGTAAAATATGGAATTACAATTTAGACTTCTTCCAGAAGCTGTCATTTTATAAAATTCCAATTGGCATGAGAAAAAGGGAGAAATTCATGATTGTGAAGAATTTGTTCCTTTTCTTTGATGGTTGGAGAAGTGTAGATATTGTATGATTTGTTCATAAGTTGAAACATAGTACAAAAAATGGGGTATATCCTGTGTGACAACATGGGAACCCAAAGTGTGAACCATAGTTCTGGATTACTGAAGGAATCACAGATATATATGAAGGATACGAGTCAGAATCAAAAGATAACTAAGAAAATGTGTAGAATGACTGAACTTTCCATTGCTGTGACAAAACGCCCTGAAGAACAAGTTAGAAAGGAAGGTTTGTTTCTGTTGGTGCTCCCAAAGGTCTTGGCCCATAAGCACATGTCTCTGCTGTTCATGGGCCTGTGGTAAAACAGCATGTGGAGAAAGCCGGGACAGAGAAGGGCTACTCGCCCTGTGTTCTCTGGGAGGAGGGAAGGAAGCTCTAGGAGCCAGGATAACAAAGAACTTCCATGGTTCTGTGCCCAAGAACCTGCCTACTCTCTACCACGGCCCACTTTCTGAGTTTCTGTGACCTCCCAGTAACTGGTGGAGTTATGAGCCCATATGTGGACTACTTTAGTGACATCTCAAAAGGCACACCTCTGTGTATCATTGTATAGGAAGCCACACTGTTGGCATGTGAGCCTCTGGGGAGATTTTAGATTTAAGTTATACTATTGTTGTTACCATTGAGTTTCATTAATATAAACGGGTATTTATGTTTAAAAAGAAGAATACCTTGGACAAGCTTCATGATGGCTTTTCAATCTGCTCTCTATAGTTACACACGCTGAATACTTTTCTGTTTAGTTTTCCTAAGGACAACCATAAAGACGTGTACTAGTTGAACTTTTCTTTCCATCCAGTCCTAAAATTCCTGATAATAAACACCTTTTATTTTTTGCCTTTAGCCAGAAAGAACAATATATTTTATATGTAAGAAGTCCCTTTAGGGCCGGGCGGTGGTGGCGCACGCCTTTAATCCCAGCACTCGGGAGGCAGAGGCAGGCGGATCTCTGTGAGTTCGAGGCTGGGCTGGACCGATAGCCTCCTAAACAATACAGAGAAACCCTGTCTCGTAAAAACCAAAAAAAAAAAAAAAAAAAAAAAAAGAAGTCCCTTTAGGATTTCATCTGTAGCTTTAGGGCACAGGTGTTAGGCCCTGATTGTGACCCCTGCAAAGGTGGCACTTGGCATGTGTGAGACCCCTACCCCAGCACTGCCCAAACAAAATGAAAAACAAAAAAGAAACCAGCAACACAGTTTATAAAGTATCCAGGGTAATAGAACGTACCTATAAGCCATGAAATCATTGACTTAAATTACAGTGGGGTTAACAAGACAAACCCTAAGTAAATTGAAAACTTCCACAGTGGCCCTTAAAAATTTTTCAGGTTTTTGGGCCTTTTTATTATTCAGATTTGGAGATCTTAAAGTCTGAAAATACTGTATGTGTGCATGCTCATTCGAGCATGCGCGCGCACACACACACACACACACACACACACATGCACCATTTCTTGTCTCATAAATGTATATTTCCTAATCTTTTCAGTAATCCAAGAACTAACAATTTAGGAACAAAATACATCACAGAAATTAGGGCTTCCTATTTTTAAACTGTTTCTAATGTAAATGTAAATGTGTATCTAGTGTTCTTTTTGAATCAATTTATAGCATAGAATCTTCCCTCAAACAGGCCACTGAGTCTCTGGGGCCAAAGATTAATGCCTATATACATGGTGCCATGACTTATCGTACAACATATCGAAATATGTTAAAAGGACAGGAAATTCTATGAATACACAGATGATGTCTGTGCTGTGAAAATGCAATAAAAACCATAGAACTTGTCTAAGTAAAATAGGATTCAAAGGATGACATTCCATACTTGATCATTGGCACTAAAAAGGACAAATAGAAAACTTATCAGAACAGTAGCGTGGTTTTATACCTAGTTGTATAGTCTGGAAGCAGATAATACAACAGTAAAAATGGTACTTGGACCTTGGAAACATTTGACTTGTGCTTGTGAACTTGGGGCTTGGGAAGGCTGGAGTGTGTGGGTTACTACTGTGGGGTTAAAGGATGGCCTGAAATCTGACAAAGCTACAATGCCAGGTGTGAGTAGCAGTGGCTTGTGCACAGGACTGATATTGCTGGTAGGTAGTGAAGTTGTGTTAATTTTGTGTTCTGAGTTCTTAGGTTCAGCCGAAAGCTACTTTCTGTGATCACTCATGCATCTTGAGGTTGAAATGCAAATAAATAGACATGACACTTGTGTTACATGCAAATTGTTACCTAGGATTTCTGACATGTTGGAACAAACACCACCTTTCAAAATCAGTATAGCTTCAGGCTGCATGATTTTTATTTGTTCTCCAGACTTGACTATGAACTACTGGAAGCCTTTAATTTTATATGTTTACTTGTTCTACAAATGCAGTTATTTTTGTAAGTTGATTATGGCTGTGCATTCAGCTTCCTCAATCAGGCATGCCAGTGAGTAGGAATAGGACAGTACTTGAGTAAGATGAAGTAATACTCTACCCGTATGCATTTGTTCATGGAATGTTTACTCTTTTTTTTCTTTTACTAAATTCTGATATTTCTGTTCCTCTTAACTTGCTTTGATTTGAAAGTTCTCTCTCTTGAAAACATGACTCCCTATTGCTTGTTTGGCATAGTTTACTCCTTTAATGCATGCTTGAATTCTCATTTTTAAGTTTGTCGACCTGATCCATGAAGCAAGTCATTTCCTTGGAAGACACTGTTTGCTTTCAACCAGAACATTGATTCTTTGGCCAATAGCATAGACCATAAGAGAAGTCATTTGTTTCCATTATGCCGCCTTGGCCTTAGAGAATTACTCAATCATTTATAGGAATCTCCCATTAAATATGAATGACGTTATACTTTGTCAACATTTAAATCGACATGCTAGGCAAATGTCTGATGAACTTCTGAAAATGTGTTCTACACCCTTTGTGAGAAGCTACTCAGCTCAGTATATGGCAATGTTTGAAGGAAATCTGCTTTAATATTTACCCTTGCTGGCTACAAAGAAGGGCTTACCCTGCAAAATATATCTATAAACAAGGCACAAGGAATGTTGATATACTTAGCAAATCAAACCCTCTGGGGTACTTTAAGAATATCCATGAGAATGTCTATGAATAGATACACTGACACATTGCTCATTAAAATTCAAAAACCAATTCATGTTGTTGTTTGTTTACCAAATGTTTAAAATACCTACTACTCTTTACCCCATTTATTTCCAACTGATTATCTTTTAAAATTAAATGTCCATGGCACTAAATTTCAAGTACTTAGCTTATTGTACCTGCTATCAAGAAAACTAAATTTTATTCTATCTTCCTTGTAAATCTGTGGTCCCTAACCCCATTAACAAAGCCACCATTCAGGATGGCAAGATCTAGTCTTGGGTAGAACAGTTTTGCAGGTGAGGATTAAACATGCTTGGCAGCACCTTCAGGGAAGCTGTCTTCCTGTACTCCTGGGTGTATGAAAACAATGGTGACTGTCAGTTCTTTGTTTCCATCACTGCCGTAAGTGAGGCTATAAAGACTACTTCATTACTTACAATGCACTAATTCATTGGAATCCCACTTTGGAAGGAGAATATTGACACACAGTTCTTACAGGCAAGTGTTTAGTATACAGTCTGTACTTAAACTTTTGTCAAACTGAGGGTACTACTTTGCTCGATTGTGTACACATCACAGTTGGGAAAAAATGAAACAAAACAAAACAGTACTGCCTTAGAATTTGTCTGAGTCATCGTGACGTATGTGACCAGGGTCCAAAACTATCTACAGATATTTTAGAAAATGTGCATATATATATAGGAATAAAAAGATGGTTTATTGGATATGTGAACTTGTGCCATTTTCACAGAGGCAAATTCACTATTGAATGTTGAAGAATAAGCATAGATTATCATGCTTTAATGAATGTTTTCTGTGTTTATTTAAGCTTCTAGTGTGGTTTACAACTTTAGTACATCTGACATGATTAAACATGTGTTTTGGTAAAAACACAACTTTTCATGTATTCCTTTGGAATCTTTTAGAGACCATTTAAGGGTCATGGCTTTGGGGCTCTAGACACTGTGTAGATGCAGCCTCCCATGACCAGCAAGTCACTGGGTGTTGTAATCAACCATCCTTTTTTAAATGTCAAGTAGTCCATCTAAAGCCCACACAACATTTTGGAAACTGCTCACAAAGATAATTTTACCTCCGTCCCTAGAATTCTCTTACTCTGAACCCTCCTATCTTCTCTTCTCTGTAGCATGGGGAACTTTAGACTGATTTATTTGCCCATGATGCCCCTGTGAAGTATATATTATGGCCATTGCCATTGTGTTATTTTCAGTGCTAGTTAGATGTACCTACTTTTCTGTCTTTTTTTTTTTTTTTTCCTCATCAGGGTCTCACTATGTAGCCCTGGCTGTTCCTGGAACTCTCTGTAGACAAGATTTGAATATCCTGGAACTTCCTCTGCTGCGGAGTACTAGGATTAAAAGCATGCATCACCACACTTAGCCTTCTTTTATTATTTTTCAGACAGTATCATTTTGTGTGCCCATCTAAAGTAAATTATGCTTGACAGCAGAGAGTGATGTTTGTTTGTTTTTTAGTGAGTTGGGTTTTGCTCAAGGCAGTCTCATGTTCTAGGTTTAAGCAATCCTCCTGGCCCAGCCTCCCAGATGATTGGGACTACAGATGCACATCACCCTGCTAGGGTCTTAGATACTCTTACAGACATTATGCCAGTAGTATCTGTGTTACCCAAAATGCTTAAGCCATTCTTTTTAATTGGTGTTTTGAATGGTGAACAGGAAGGAAATGTATTAAAGTTGTCTTATTATAGTTCCATTACAAAGCATTGCTCATCATCTTTTAAAACAGATTTGCATCGGTTCTTTTCCTGCATTCTGTAATTGCCTTATATACTGTGGCTATGACCACCTGGCTTTCATGTTTCATACTCATTACAAAAGAATCCTAAAATACTACGAATTTCAAAAAATTTGTTATTTAATGTTCTAAAAATGGTGGTAATAGGGAAATTTAAAATCTTGTATTTATTAACAGAGTAGCAGAGCAAATGACTGGTTGATAGCGAAGGAACGTTTTGTTTCTGTTGTCTTTTTGGTTGTGAGCCTAGTCTTTAGCATTGAGCCATCTCCCTAGCCCTGTTTTGCTCCTAGGAAGAATCATATATATGTCTATGTATTATGTACCAGTTTTGCATGGCAGAGCCATTTTTAGAAAGACTTCAACAGAGATGTTTTCAGAATGTATTTAGGAACATTTTAGGAAATAGATCAGGCTGACAGGAAACTGTGGAAATGTACAGTTTTTAAGAGCTAGTTGAGAGTAGCACAGTGCTAATTTGGGAATACATTATCAATTTACTTCAGGAATGCACATTTAAAGCCTTTACAAAGAGCTATTTGGAGGTGAGGCCGTATCACTAGAAAGAAAAGGAGGAAGGAGGCTTATGTAGTATTTAGACATCTAGAAAGGAATTGGAATGATCATTGCCTCCAGTCGATTTGCTTTTTTTAACAACCAAATGAGATGTTCATTTGTCTGTGTGTGCGTGTTTGGGTGTTTATTTGTGCATGCCTGTGGAAGCCAGAAGACAGCCTCAGTGTCATCCTCAAGGGGCTTCTACTTTGTTCTATGAGACAGGGTCTCTCACTAACATAGTGTTCATACATTAGGCTGTGATGGCTGGTTGGGGAGTTCCAGGACCCACCTGTCCCTACCTCCTCAGTGCCAGAATTACAAGTAAACATCACACACCTAGCTTGTTTTTTGCTTTTGTTTTTTTAACATGGACTCTGAGATCAGAGTCAGATCCTCATGCCTACATGGTAAGCATTCTACTGACTCTGCCCTTCCTCAACCAGAGATGAAAGCCAGATAGGCAACAAGCACACCATAACACTAAAGAAAAAATCCTAATTTTAGAACAGATAGTTGTGTTTGAGTATGTTTATAATATTTAAAACATAAGTATTATTCAATGAAAATTTCTTCTGTCCACTTAAAATGTATCCTTAGATACTCTGTTTTTAGTTAGTAGAAACAGGCAGAGTATCCCTTCCTGCGTATCACTTTGCCACTTACTGATTTTCTTAGCAGTAAAAGCATGAGTCCTGTTGACTTCCTTCATCTGTAAAAGCAGCATTGCAAACCTCACATTTAGTCCTTGAAGGTTGTTGTGTACAGTAACTTACGAGAAGGTTTTAAAAAGTTTGTCCCATAAGAATTGTGACTTTTTTTTCATGATCTCATTAGCTGGGTTGTGCTACACCAGACCTCAGAGTCTGATGAGAATTGAGGGGATGAACTTGCCCTGCAGGTCCTTCTTTCTATGTTTGCTATATGAGGGCTGTGGTCTTTTCTGTGTTTTAACTGACTGTACCAGTTAAATGTTGTGTATTTTTATCTGAAAACAGAAAAAAAATAGCTTTGTCCTGTTGTTAAATGTGTATTTTTTTTCTTTTCCCATTATAGATTAAAGAGTCTATTGTTGGGGAAATTAGACGAGAAATTGTAAGTGGACTTTTGGCAGCCGTGTCTTCAAGTAAAGCGTCGAATTCTAAGCAGGACAGTCACTGAATGGAATTTATTAGGTAATGCTTATTACTTTCTTCATTTAACTAGATATAAGTTGATACTTGGTTTTTAATTTTTTGTCTTAGTGCAGTTTATTATCTCTAGCTACATTTTTGTTTTTGTAATGTATGTCTTAGTTGTTTTTCAGTATGAAAACCAAGTATAGCCTCATTTAAAGTGTTAACAACTCAACTTAAGAATAGAATTGCCTACAGTTACTTTGAAATTCCATTGTAGATGAATAAGTAAATAAATCCTGGAATTGGGCTTTAGGCTGAATCTTAATTTAATATTAATTAAATTGTATTTCAAATGTATAATTTGTGGACAAGAGTTTGAAAATTGGTCAAAAAATTATAATACCTTTCATTGTTATTTTTATCTTTTAAACAGACATTCCATAGATCCATTTGTAATAATAATTTATTAAAGAATTTTATGTGGTTTACTTAATAAAATGAATAACTCTAGCTATATTTTATAGATTGTGTTAATAGTAGTGATTGGTAAACATATAGTCTCTACAACACTTTCACAGCTGAAAGTGTTTATTCAATGTGATATGAAAAGTGTGAGATATAATTTTAGCTGTGGAAAATAAGCAAGTATTTTAATAAATGATGTCACAAGCAACTCAGAGGATTCCTTTTCAAAGGCCAAGAATCAAACAATTAACTCTCAAAAAATTGTTTACAGCCAGAGGATTATGTGTAAGTGTTCATATGTATGTGCAGATAGATAGATGATAGTTAAATAGGTAGCTAGATAGATAGATAGAGAGAGATATATATGATATAAATGGATTTTTTTGAATAAACACATTTCTTTTTGAAGAACTTTCAAAATAGTATTTGAAGAATGGTTAATGTTGACGTTTCCTTCTTTTTAGGGTCAGGATGGATCCCATTAACTGTAATACTGGTGTTATCCATGATTTATGTTGGTGGAGGTGTTGTTTGTCCTTTGGAAGATACTTTCTACTGAGTTGGCCTACTGTACACAATGGACATTGTGCATTTCTGTATGAGTGTACAGTATACTGTTCTTCTATTCATAAAACTTTAAAAACACATATAGAAACTTAGGCACTTTGCTGACTCATTTCTAAACTATCAGACTGGCCATTTGAAAGTCTAGTATTTATTTGTATGTCAGTAGTTTTCCAGTTGATGTTCCTATGTAGAATTAATTGTAAAACTTGAAGAGTTCCAAACATAACCAACTTATAAATAACATATTTCTTCAGACTAGCTTCTACAACACTGACCTCTATGAGGTATTTACTGTGCAATAACAGATTCATCTTTTGAGAGCTTGAAGCAACCGATGACTTTTCCCTCCACTGCTCTTCATTGGGTCACTCCAAGAAGACAAATGGTTCTGTTGTAAAAATTGCTCTTAATTCTTGAGGAGGCTACTGAGAAGCAGTAGGGTAGATCTCATTAGGTTACCTACAACTACTTCATGTTCTTACACTGTAAGCCTTGTTGCTTTGCCCCAAACAAATGTAATTTTATTATAGCTATGTGCCTTATGGTAAACACTATGTATTTTCTGCATTGTCCAGATGTCTTACTTTAAGATGTTTTTTCTGTCTTTTAGATTAAATAGTATTGTCAAGATAATGGGGCCTATGACTTGAATGGATAGGATAGAAATGAATAAGCTGGTTTTTGTTTTTTGTTTTTCTCCAAATGAGATTTAGATTTGTTTTTCTCATGCATAAATGATTTTAATTCAGTTTTAACCAGAAAACTCTTGGTTTTTCTGAAAAAAAAAAGGTTTTCTATCTGGTATTATGTTTGTCAAATAAATGTATAAAGTATTAGAAATTAGTCTTTTAGTATTTGTAATCTTCAACTCCTATTATGTTACTTTGTGTGAGAAATTTTAGTCAAAAGTGCTTGAAATATTATCATTCCTTCAAAGACTATCTAAAAGGTTTATAAATATTTGAAATACCACACAAAGGCTGATCTCTAAAAAACAAAAAACCCATTAAAACAATAAAGTATTTATTTTGCCAAAAATATTCATTTCTTTTTTGTTTGTTTTTTGACCTGCTACATGGAGAATTTGCTTTGCATTTGATGACTAACAAATAAATCTGAACAGCCTTTTAGCTGTCCCTCTCCTGCAGAGGCTCCTGCAATGCTCTCAGGAAGTTCAGTCTCCACCACCAACCGGAGACACAGTAATACATCACTTTTGGGCTCATAAAGGTCCAGGGCTATGATCCCATCTAAGGCCAGGTTGAACTTCTCTTTAAAATGTGCAGTTACTATGAAGAGCAGATAAGAAGCCAGGTATGACACGCGTGCCTGTAATATCAGTATTGGAGAAGTAGATGCAGTAGTATCAGGAACTTGAAGACAGCCTGAACTACATGCCACTGTGCCTCAATGAATAAATAAATGAATAAGTAAATAAATAAATAAGAACAGACATTAAAATAATACTGTTATTTGAATTATTCAAGAATTTAACTGGCTGATTGTGACAGTGATGGCAAACATGTAAACCAGATATCCCACATTAATAGAAAATAATTCAAGCATTGATAATTTTAACTATTTGGGTTTTTAGCCTATTTGAGTCTATTTCTAGCAGACGGCTCAGGTTTTGATGATCAATATTGGTGGTCTAACAACTGAAACACTAGACTGAGCCAACACTTAGCTTGTGTTCTCTATTATACTTTTTCTCTCCTGAGTTTCTTGGGAAATTACAATGTACAAGCAGCTGAGCTATGAAGAATGATGGGGAAAGGGGCCTAAAAACAGATGCATCTTTTAATTTAATGTATGCTTAGCAGTGTCCAATTATGAAACAACTTTGAGAGAATATAATTTACAGTTGTCATAGAAGTCTACCAATGTATTTTGGTTTGAAGTTTTAAGACTAAAGATAGGGAAGAGGAGAGTCTGGAGTTACTTTATTCAAGAGGATCATTAGTAAAAGGTTTTCCAGAACACCAAATTGAGTGTAAATTACCATATGCCTAGTGAGAGCAGCGTTTTCAAAGATGCACACTGTTCATAGCTCATGTGGACTGTGCCAAGAGCCTTCACAAAAGAAGGCAAAGAAGGAAGCCCTGAGATTATTTTTGAAGTTTTTAGTCACTGACTGATACACCAACAATGAGCAGCTCCACGGATAGAAAGACATGCTGTACCATGCCTTTTTAGGAAGGGATTGCTGATTAAAAACAAGGCCATCTGTAGGAAACACTATAGCTTGTTACTTGTGTTCTTGAGTTAATTGCTAGGTAAATCCATCTATGGATGATTTATGGTTCCTTCTATAATTTCTGCAGTCCAAAGATTTTATTTAAAAAAAAAAAAACAGAAAACACCTTTAAGTATTATAAGAGGATTCTAAGTTAGGTTCACAAATGTATTACAATGTGTGTGGGCACCGTTTGAATAATTAGGACCATTACTTAAACCTCAGTTGTGAATATCTAGATTTATATTTTGTCAGAAATTATACCACTGTTATTAGTATACACAAAAATACAGGCATCCAAATAGAAGTAGTGTCTGTTCGGACCTCTACATGTGATGGCAAGTTGAGATGACATTAATGATAAGTCTTGTATTTTTCCGTGTGAAGACAAACCCTGCTTTTCCACCAGGGTTCTCGACTGGATGACATTGAGGCATGAGCCCTTCCTTTGTTGGGCTACCAGTGCAAACCTTGGTGTCAAAGCAACATTGCTCATAGCCAAGCTTTCTCTTGTGAATCCCTGATGAAATTTTGATCATTTGCTCTCAGCTTCATCTGCCTGGGTGTGGCTAGTGTGGGTCTAAAGCAGCAATGCAGGCATGACCATTGTTCTCTGGCAAGTGTCCTCATCCTGATCAACTAATTCAAACTCACCTTGGCTGGATTTTAGAATGGATGCAGTGTTAGGCACAAATTGGTTTCCTCCTACATTTTTTTCTTTCTTTTAAGACATGGATTTACTGTGTAAGAGTTCTGGCAGTGCTGGAATTCCTTTGTACACCAGGCTGGCCTTGAACTCACAGAGATCCCCCTGCTTCTTCTGAGTGCTGGGATTAAAGGTATGCACTGCTACCACCTGGTTCTGGTTTTCTCCTAATTTAAGAACAGATGAGTATTCAAATGACTGCTATTAAGCATATTTTTGTTATTTTTTAAAATCACATCACAATTAGATTTACTTAATTGTTCTTTCACATTCAATAAAACATAATAAAAAGAATTAGTAATTTTTTAAATCTGTGTGAGTGTACTTGTAAGGATAGGACACATGTGTGTAGGTGCCCATGGAGACTGGAAGAGGGTAGACATAGGCATATCACTGGTATTTGTTTCATAATTTTATATTTAGAAAAAATTCTTATGAAATAGAAAAAACAGAAAACAGCTTTCAGTCTCAGTTGAGGGAGGTGGCTAATGCCTATAATTTCATCACTTGAAAAGCTAAGACAGGAGTTGGGTCACAAATTCAAGGTTAACCTGTTACTACATAGTTACAGGCCAGCCTACTGTACAGTTCAAGACTCAGTCTCTAACTAAATAAATTCTTGCAATAATTGAAGTGGATGGGTTTTTAAAAACTTGAGAAAATAATGAAACAAATTAAGACAGTTTATGGTGTGTGTGTGTGTGTGTGTGTGTGTGTGTGTGTGTGCGTGTGTGTGTGTGCTTGTGGTAGTCATGTATGTAGGCATGTGTGCACTGTAGATCAAAGGTTAACACTGAGTGTCTTCAGTCACTGTTCACCTTGGTTTTGGGGATGACCTCTCTCACTGAACATGGAGCTTGTAGTCTACAGTCAACTGTCTGAATAGTGAATTTCAAGGACCCACCTGTCACCCCAGCTCTGGGATTACATACATAGGGCCCTTCATCTGGCTTGTACATGGATGCTGGGAATCAAACTTAGGTCTCCATACTTGGGCAGCAAATGTTCATCTTTACAACCCCAGTTTATTTTTACTATTACCAAGGACTCTAAATTAAATGCGTTGAATTACTGTCAACACAGATGTTGGAAGCAAAATATATTCAGTTCAGAGTGCATTATAATTGTTTTTTGAGAGTTTCAGAACATTAGATTCTAGTTGATGTGTGGTAGCCAACTGATTTTCATCCTGATATAGTTCTGAAAAGCATCAAGTCTGAATGGAATAAATATTCAACTGCTAGATATTGTAAATAATTCAGACCACAGTTTATGAAAACACTACTTTAGACAAGGCAGTATCTTTGGAAGGAGGAAATGTTCCAGCCAGGAGGTTGCTAACAGAGTGCCATTTAACCGTGAGTTGCCTATCTAAGAGACAGAATCAGGAAATGTGAATAGCTGTATTTCATGACCTTGACATCTCTTCCAGACAATAGAAAGAGGAGGCACTTTTTAGAAGTAGTGGCTGCTGCCAACTTCCTGCTGTCTTATTTAGGCATCTCCAAAATATCCTGATACAATACTAGATAAACATCCCCCATGCAGTGAGCTCCTTCATAGTCCATCCGTTGCTTATCGATTTTATACTTATTGCTGCAAAAGTAAAGTGGTTTCTGGTTGATGATCTTGGATTGCAAGAATGAGTATCAGAAGCTTTTACATAATAATGTCATGATTTCACTCATGTGAGACCTAAAAAGAAAGAAAAAATGTTGGTCTCATAGAATTGAGACTGGTGGCTACCAGAGAAAAGGAAAGAGGCAGGAGTGGGTGGGACGTCTGAGCTCTTACCTAGTGTGCACAAGGCTCTGAATCCCCAATACTAAAGAAAAGAGGGCAAGAGGCAGGGATATGGAGCGGTCGATAGATAAATGAGCCCTAAGTTACAATTACACTAGCATGAGAAAGTGCTGTGACACACTAGAGCAATGATTCTCAACCTGTGGGTCGTGATCACTGAAGACCAGCGGGAAAGCACATACAGTACCAAAATTGCAGCTAAAAAGTAGCAACACCACATGAGAAACCACACTGAAGGGTCACAGCAGTAGGAAGGTTGAGAACAATTGCATAGAGTGATTAGATGTTGTACTATATATTAAAAAAGAAGCAAAAGAAATTTTTAAAATATTTTAACAGGAGTAAATGATAGGAAATGTATGTCTAATCTGGCTCAAACACTGCACAATGAGCCTATCATTGCACTGAAATAGCACATGGTACTCATTAATATATATGATAGTTGTGTTTTTATAATTTTAGAAATTAAAAATAAAAACTTTATACAAATCCCATAGCTTGGTGATTACTTCATTATGAAAATAAATATTTGACTTCTCCTTGAGAAGGAATAGGTGAGTGTCTTTATTATAATCTTGAATTTAGGATGGTCATGATGACAAGAATATATACAGTTATATCTATATCTATACATATAATTTAATCACAGAGGAACAAGAAATAGGGCGTGTTTTAGTTTTTTCTCTAAAGTCATCAGGAATAAGAAATATACTCCTCCCAAATTACATGTACCTATACAGTCTTTTTTTTTTTTTGTCTTTTTTCTATAGCAGAGTGTTTTCTGAATGAGTCCAACATTATCCCTGTTCCATTTACTTTTCTGAGTCTTTGCTATTCTTTCATGAAGAACTGGAGTTTAGGCTTGGAGAGATTGCTCAGTGCTTAAGAGCTACACTTCAGAAGACCAGATTCAGTGTTCAGCACCCACAGTAAGTGGTTCACAGCCACCTGGACCTCCAGTGCTGGGTGATCTAATGCCCTCTTCTTCATTTTGGGCACCTGCACTTGTGTGGTACACATAAATATTTTTTATGGAGCTGGGGTTTCTATATCTTTCCCCTGCAAATGTTTGTGTATCTATGACAGTAAAGGGCCAGGACAGTGGGTGTGAGAGCATGGCACTGTCTAGGCTATGACAGGGTAATGTCGTGCACTTTCATGTGATTCTCATTAGATGCTTAACCTGGGTCTCATCTGCTTTCCTGGAAGGAAGACAAACCTAGGAAAAACGAGCCATGGAGAATAGAATCTTCTGGTTCTAGGTGAATTCCCATGCAATAGACAGCACCCAATTG